GGGGGGGGGGGTGGGGCGTGGTGCGGGAAATATGTTTTGTTGGAAATCAAGATGGGGTGCGACGCTGTAACAGGGTTAGGAACCCCTGACTTAAATCATATTATATTTTTAAGACATTTTAGCTGGTCAAAGGTAAACTTATAAGGTGTCTGTACTTCAATAAGTAGAGAACAAAAAAATGCATGCCACACAAAAAAATGTATTTGATTTTTTACAATTCAAATCGAAACGGTTCATTTGATGCATTCAGTTATTACTTTATTTTTTTTTTTTAAATTCTCAATTATTTCATCACATATATTATATTTCAACGTTATAATGAATCAGTTTAATCCGTAACAACAACTTATATTATTTACACAAAGAAACATTCGCAATCACATTATCACAGCATGATAACAACCCTGGCAACAATGAAATGTCTTATTTACAAATCTCAACAAACTGTTTATATACAGAGTCAAATATTAGCTTTCCCTCATTTACGACTGACATAAAATGTAAGATTAGGAAAATGATTTGACTTCAAAGTCAGGCAAATATATTTTTACACTCTAACTTCAACCCTAGACTAATATTCGGCAGTAACGTCAATGTAAATTTTTACCCCTTCCCATTTGCGTGACCATTCTTTGTAGTGTCTTCAATGGAACAATATCATATCTTGTTTTTTTTGAACAAGTTTATTTTGTTATCAACAACTTTCTTGTAAACATCAATGTGTTACGTATCAGCACAACTGCAACCTTATAATGTATTTTAGACACCTCGAAACCATCAACATTTCTAGACATCCACATCATTTTTCTAAGGTCCCAGGACACCCGAGAGCCCAATCATGTCATTTAACACCAACATCCACGTGACTCCCCTGAAAAAAAAAAAAAAAACGCTTGGCCATCCATCTTATTTCAACTATTGACAACGTGTAAAAAGCGTTAACGCTCTACGAATATAGATTTCAAGTTAGTGAACATCTGAGAGTTGGCGAGTCTTGAAAAAAACAACAAATCTTTCCGAGTTGTAGATATAATTTATGCAGCACCTTTTTGGCTATTTCAAGTACACGAAAAGTCGAACCTTAAGTTTCTACCGACGAGAACGTACAACATCTGTTGTTAGCTCCTGCCACAGCAACATATGTCTCGGCTTGCATGTTAACATGGCTGTGACTTCATTGAAGTTACTTAGTGCAATATTTGGCCCGGATCAATGGCTCAAATGTTGGATTTTAGAACTGTCAAACCAGGAGAAACTTTTAAGTCGGACCGAGATGGCCAGCCAGGTTAAATCAGCAGAAAACTTTAAGTCTTGCTGAGATGGCCACCCAGGTCAAATGAGGAGAAACCTATAAGTCTTGCTGAGATGGCCACCCAGGTCAAATCAGGAGAAACCTTTAAGTCGTGCTGAGATGGCCACCCAGGTGAAACCAGAAGAAGCATTTAAGTCGGACTACGATGGCCACCCAGGTCAAACCAGGAGAAGCATTTAAGTCGGACCGAGATGAACACCAAGATCAAATCAGGAGAAATCTTTAGGTCGAGCCGAGATGGCCACCCGGGTCAAAACAGGAGAAGCCTTTAAGTCGGGACAAAGATGGCCACCAAGGTCAAAACAGGAGAAATCTTTAGGTCGTGGTGAGATGGCTACCCAGGTCAAAACAGGAGAACCATTTAAGTCGGACCGAATGGCCCCCCAGGTCAAACCAAGAGAAACCTTTAAGTCGTGCCGAGATGGCCATCCAGGTCAAATCAGGAAAAACCTTTAAGTCATGCTGAGATGGCCACCCAGGTCAAACCAGGAGAATCCTTTAAGTCGTGCCGAGATGGCCACCCAGGTCAAGCCAGGTGAAGCATTTAAGTTGTGCCGAGATGACCACCCAGGTCGCTGAAAAGGTGACAGAGATTCCAGGTGAAAAGACAGGGCTTCCAGAATGATGAGACCGAGGTGCCAGGCTGATGAGACAGTGACACGAGACAGGAGGGTCTGGAAAGTTCTTACATGCCAGTAAACTTTTAATGCCAGGGGTTCTTAAACTTGCGTACAACAGACTCTTTTCTTTGACCCAGTCTTATGTGCTTTATTGACCGCGTGATGTTAAAAAAATATATATATAATTTAAATGATTATGAAAACAACTGTTAGTTATTCGAGGACTTCTATTGGGGTGTAAACATATTTTCCTTGGCTACTTAGTGTGTATTCTTTACCAGAGTAGCACCATTGGCCCGCGATACAGATGAAAATGGTAAGAACCCCTGATATAACTAAGATCCAGAATGTCTCATAAACATTAGATTGATATCAGGAACCTGCACTTTAGCATGACATGCTGCGTGAAGCTCCAGATATGTTTGTTTTCACGCTACTATAATCAGATTGAGCTGTCACTCATCGTCTCACCACGTTCCGAGGGTAGCTAACTCATTTCAGAGTCATACTTTATAGGTTATCTCGCAAAGCTCAAAGTTCGGAGAGCTGATTAGGGTCACGGAAACTGATATATTTATGAGGCTTGCTTTGAGAGTATTTTTCGAGATGAAACATTTAATCTCGATATGATTTGTAAGTACACTTGCTTCCACTGACGTCTTGATATACGTTTTTGACATTTCCTGGGAGGGATTGATAAATTGGGTCGACTTTGAAGATTATTAAAGACAATTTATTTTTGACATTCCCTGGGAGGGATTGATAGATGGGGGTCGACCTTGAAGATTATAAAAGACAATTTATGTTGTAGAATGAGGAACTATTTAAGAATTGGCGGACTTCCTGATACTTTATGCGAAGAGACCCGTTACCCCTTTTTGTAAAACGCGAAGATATGGACGCAACAAACATGTTTACGATGTGAATGTAATCTATCTATCTTATTTTATGTATATACTGCGCGCAACATCAATCTAAATCATCCATCAATTGGGGAATATGTTTACAAGGCTGATAAATTTAATTTGTTCAAAAATGCGATTTTGAAACATTCGCGATGCACTCTGGTGGGGACATTTTTTTTTAAATCTCACACAACGGTGGTAAAAAGTATTTTTGGTTATTTTTGTGGTTAATATGTACTATGTTAATAGGTGTTAAGCAATTTTAAATTCACCTTCAATGACAAATGGTCTTTGTATTTAAATGTCGAAGTATGAAATATTTCAATTTCTTCCTCTTACTTTACACCAGATAACATTATACTCAGTAGTGTATGGAGAGTGCAGCCAAAACATATACCTTTATAGCTGGTGGACTGCAACCAGGGGCGTCATTTGGGTAGGGAAGGATCTGGCATTTGCCCCCCCCCCTGAATTTGCAGGTTTTATTAAAACTATTTACTGTGGCGCCTCCAGTAATAAACAACTTAAGAAGCCGACCGAGTTTGGGCTTTGCCCCTCCCCCCCTCCCTCCCCCGATAAAACCTGAAATGACGCCCCAGACTGCAACATATAAAATTCAGAATAATTTCTTTTGTTAAATTGAATAATTTTAGCGAGAAGATTTCTTTAAATTCCTTCGTCGTAGAAAGCAACAAGAGCTACAATAGAACATTGAATAATTTTAATTCTTTACACCTTCAGCTTTCCAAAACGTATCTATCCGTGTTTATATAGAATTCTGTTTAACGTTACATAGAAGTCGAGAAACATCATAAATTCAACACCCTGCAGTAAATTAATGTAGCTCACGGTTTTATTTGAGTGTGCGAAAAAGCAAATTTTAACTTTATTGTAACTATTACGAAATATTTATTCTGAAGAGCTTCAGCATCATTATGCCTAATCGCCTAAACATAAGACCATGTATGACTATAAAATAAAGTAATTTTATAAAGAAACTTTTATTGCACACAAAATTATAATGATAATTATTTCAAACAAGGTAACAAAATCAATATTTAAATAACAGACTTTAAATTCAAATAATAGAAGTCTTGTTATTGCCGTTTGCATTTCCTGAAAGCTCGGTAACCCAAGATGTTTTAACACGAAACATATCCATTTAAAAAAATCTGGAATCTGAAACTTGCCAAAGTAAACATTTCTGAACATTGGTAATCAATCAATCAATCAATGCCAACCCTTACAGGAGCAGCATGGTGCACTTATGATAAGACATAGTCATACTTTGGACACGTACGTCTTCCCACTGCTTGAAGATTTCATTGAGGTGAGACGGGACTCGAGAGAATCATACCGTGACCGGGTGTACTTGGCTTTCCGGCACGCGCAGCACCACGAGCACAGGCAACTCTTAAAGTTCCGCCGGAAGTTTTGGCTGAAGATCCCATAAAGCACCGGGTTGGCGGCCGAGTTGATGTGTGTGATGACCATGACGAAAACGAAGAACTCCCAGCTGTCCAGGAACGATGACCTGGCGAAGGTGCCGTAGTACAGGTGAATCTGCGTCGGCGAGTAGCTGATGAAATACAAGATGACGCTGGAGATCAGCATCTTCACGACGCCACGGCGGGCTTTGATCGTGTCGCTGGTGGTGTCGTTGCGGCGGTTGGTGGTTGAGCGCATCTGGAATCGAGTGCAGAGCTCCTCATTGCTGGCAAAAAGACGCTTGGAGATCATCGAGTACAAGACGACTTGGATGACCAGCGGCGCGATGTAAAACATGACGGACTCACAGTACTTGTAAATCATGAAACCGTGTTCGTCGCCCGGCAGGATGATGCGACAGTGGTTGACACCCGGGACGATCGGTACGAGGGCGTTGAAGAGAATCACCGGAAGTCCACAGATTATTGAGAGAGGCCATATGAGGAGGATCACTGCAACCACCTTCTTTCTGCTGCACAGCTCAAGGACTTTTAAAGGGAAGACGATTCCAATAAACCTGTGGAGAAAAAAACCACGAGTTATTTTTTTTTTTTTTTTATATTTTTAATTGGTGTGTTCTTGAAAGAAGGGAAAATATATAATAGAAGGGGGAATAGAGGAAGAAGTAAGGGGTATAACACACGCCAAAAATTAGAGAAAAAAGCCACGAGTTATTTTTTTTTTTTTTATATTTTTAATTGGTGTGTTCTTGAAAGAAGGGAAAATATATAATAGAAGGGGGAATAGAGGAAGAAGTAAGGGGTATAACACACGCCAAAAATTGTTCTTGGGATGGTCACTAACAAAGAAGGCTTTTCAGCGTCTGTCGTCAGGAAAGATGAGAGAGTAAACAATCATGTTAAACGACTGAAGTTTGAAAAAAAGACAACATCGAAACCATCCACCAAGCCGTCCACAAAGCCATCCACTGAGCTTTCCACAGAGCCGTCCACTAAGGCATCCACTGAGCCGTCCACTGAACCGTCCACTGAGCCGTCCACTGAGCCGTCCACTGAGCCGTCAACTGAGCCGTCCACTGAGCCGTCCACTAAGCCATCCACTGAGCCGTTCACAGAGCCGTGAACTAAGCTTTCCACTAAGCCGTCCACTAAGCCGTCCACTGAGCCGTCCACTGAGGCGTCCACTGAGCAGTCCACTGAGCCGTCCAATAAACCGTCCACTAAGCCGTCCACTAAGAATGTCATTTTGATGACAGCTGAGATGAATAGAAGAAAAGGTGCAATGTCAACTCATTGGGTCGGCGACTAAGCGACCAAAGAGTTTTCAGACAAAAAGAGTTTATATATTTCTAGGTCATTATAATGATTTTAGAAAGTTATTCAAATATTTTTTTATGTTTGCTCTTTCCATTGGTTACTGAAGGACACGGTTTTTTAAGGAAAGGACCGAGCAGCCCAAATAGGGGGCCATAGAAAGGGCAGTGCAAAGGCGGTGGTCTAAAGAGTGGCCCACTCCCAGGTGAAGGTGTGGTCTAGTTGGTGGCCACCCCACAGGTGATAGTCCTTAAGAGAATGGGGGCGCCAAAATGGTAACTTATCCCATTTAATCATAAATAGGGCCTTATCCTTAACGTAATAATTAGGACGGTGTGGTCCACTCCGTGGACCAGCCACTTTTTTAAAATTATAAATGTGACTTTGTTAGAGTGGGCATTTTAGGTCTGACTTTGTTGGAGTGGGCATTTTAGGTCTGACTTTGTTGGAGTGGGCATTTTAGGTCAAAAGCCATGAACAGAAATTAACAAGTAAGAAGCAAAGCATTTATTAGGAGGAATAACTAAACGCAGGTAGGAGCCAAAACGCATCCCAGAATTTTGAATTTATTTTTTTGTAAAAACTGGTCCCACTTTTGCTCTCAAGTTTCAGGCTTCCCCCCATAGGCGCCGCTTTTTCTAGACATGGCCATCATATTTAACAAACATTTTATTTAAACTCACAGCGACGCTAAATGATATGCAGTGGTGTAAAGAAGGGAGTTTGGGTGGGGGTGGGGGGCGGGGGAATCCCCCGCGCGTCACTTTTTACTTTATATTAAAGGACAGCATTTTCGACCAACTGCTGAGATATTTTTCATTCAAGGGAGGCTGCAAAAAGATTGACCCACACAGGGCGTTATCGACCCTAGCTACGCCTCTGCTGATGTGACATAATGATACACATTCTCCAGGGGAGCCCCCAAAATGTCGACAGCCTAGTAAATAACATGACATTTTAAGTTTTTCCTCATATTTGTGAGTTAGCACTTACTTTAATAAATATCGAATAATGGCTCTCGCATGTAAACAAACATAAGTTCAGCATTATTTCTTTTACGGAAATAAAACAAAAAATTTACAAAGAAAATCACCTTTATGAAATTTTGCTTTTCAAAATGTATTTCTTCCCACCTTAAGAGTGCTCCAATTTTGCAGACCTTATGTTGCGTTGATGACGTTGCATACGCTTCAATAAATAAGCCAATCGTAAATGAGACAGGGCGGATTTTTTAAGGCATTAACATACGGCAAATGGGAGACTTATGTTCAAACATAATGGGACCACTCGTCAATACTGAGATCGTCAGCCCACGCGGTCTTAATCCTGGTTGGCAACAATGTCAGAATTGTCGATATAAGCAACATGTGTTGGGACTTTACAGATTTAGAAAGGTGTCGAGTAATATTTTAAATCTGAGCAACACACAACGCGTTCCCTCATTGTGACTCAAGGTATTTAGAACATTGACTCCTTCAAAACAAATATAAACTGGAGAGTCCTCATAGTTCACTGAAAAAACGAGATGTATCATTTTGGAGATGAATTTTGCTCATCTGAAATAATGAGAAAGACAGAATTAAGCTTACGGTGGGGTTCATGGTAAAATCAATCTGGTGACACCAGCCCCCCCCCTCCCCTTTTTCACATAGGACATAGCCCCGAGAGAATTCCCTCTAAAATAGCCTCTAAAAGTGTATGTACTGACTGGGATTATGTTGACGTGGTGGCAAGTCCAAGGTTACCAGCCACAGAAAGCCAACATTCAGAACCGATCGCTTACCTTACTGGAAATGTATTCCCGATCTTTAAAGTCTTTAACTTAACCACATCTAAGTTGTACGTTTTGGATCACTTCAACATTAAACCAAACCTTCAAATGACCATTTAGTCATGTGTGCATGATATTTGCGAGACGAGCCATCGTGATATTTTTTATTAGCTCCCCGGCCACTTTTCGGTTTTTGTCTTCCACCCACTTGCGTTCAAACTTGAAAACTTTATTTGTTTTTTTTCAACATCACGGCTTTGACCGTTCAAGGACTTCCAAAGGTCTTTGGTAATTTGATATTATAAAAAAAATTATTTAAATAATATAATCTATTTTTCTATGAAACGGGGATATTATGTTAATTATTTATCAAAATAATTTTGAAAAAAAAAATAATAATTAAAAAAAGTTTACTTTATTAACTATTAATAAAATGCACTGTTTGATTTATAATGTTAGCTAAAAAAAGATTCCTGAAGTCTTATTTTCGTAGCGTAGCTTCATGTGTAAATGTTTGCTTTGTTTTGAGTGGTAACAATGATCCTACCCCCAAGAGGTTGTCTCAACACATGACGTTCACACATTTGCACCGGCTTAAATCACGGTTCGGCACGCAATGAAACAATCACGTCATTAGCCTTGAGAAGTTTAAATATAGACAAGTGAACATTAGCTAAATCCGGTGCTTCATTTTCGTCTAACTCCTGTTTTCGAGGCCAAAAGAAGAGAAATTGTTTTTAAAAAAAAAAAAAAAAATAATTTATCTTTATCTTAATTAGAATATAAAAAAATGTCAACATTAAATCTTTAATAGCGTTAAAAATAATGTTACCAATAATGTTATTATTCTTTTTAAGATGACCAAATGCTAATTTTTAAAAGTTGCCTAAAATCATGATTCAAAATAAAAAAAGTTTGTGGCATGTCTTTATGATTAAACTTTTATATTAACTTATGTGTGTCTCTTTCATTCTGGGTTTGTTACAAAACCTTCGGAAGGCTAACTGACCTACTTCCCGTCAACTTATCAAGCTGAAAATTGGCACATCGACTCACTGCTGATCAAAACACATTATTTCAAATTTTCAGCCCCACTCCTTACTCCCAACACCAAAAAAAAAAATAATAAAAAAATCAGTTTTACCACAACCAGATGCCAGGTGATTACACGGAAAAACAATTTCACGATAACTGCTCTATATGAGATTCTTTTTAAATAAAATATCGCAAGTGTGTTTGGTGCGTAATATTTTCTTGTATTTTGCGCAAATAGTTGGTGTAAAAAGTCTGCGGTGTAAAAAATCTGTTGTGTAAAATCGGGTGGGTCATTAGAATTTTACTATAGCTCAGTGGCGTGAAAGAATTGTGCGTTTGCGAGCCTCAGAAGAGCGCGGGGGGGGGNGGGGGGGGGGGGGGGGGGGGGGGGGGCACTAATGGGGGTTCTTATAAAGTGCGTTAATTGAATGCATGTTTTAGCCCACCCCCTCCTCCATGCCCCACCGTTGCTCGCTATGACATTTTATAAAGGGTTTATAAGAAAAAACTTTGGTTTTAAAGGTTGTTTAATTTCACTATTTCCCCTTCCACCAATCCTCCACAGGGCTTCTCCAGTCCACACTAACTTCCTTTATTACAAACCCAACTTAATCCATCACTTGAGGCGTTTTCATTATTGAATAATTTCTGGAACTTTATCGACAATTGCAAGAGAACCGAAAGATTACATGAAGACGTTTGGGCAATCAAAAAAAGTATATTTAATATAAAATACATGGTTTAAATACATGGCATGCTGTAAATCATTAGGCTGTACACCGTAAGTTACCAATGTGTGAATATTTACATTGTTCAGGAACACACCGTCAAGCTTTTACTCTCAATCAGATAACAGAATAAGTCAAACGTATCTCATTTGCCCCCCCCCCCTTTTCTCGGTCACACGAACTATCTGATCGTCTGCAATCTGAACGATAGCCACAGGGTAATGACTTTTAGTCTGCCGGCTTTGGCCCGCGGTGAGACCGGGTGCTTAAGATACCATACGGTGCGGGCCAAGTCCCCACAGCGCCTAACTAGATTTACACCCAGCGACGCCCGTGAATATAACGTTGGCATCTAATACGGCTCAGCTAAAAGTTCAACGTGCGCCCTGGTATTTTCACGCCCCTGTTCGTCTGCTGACTGTGATGAGTTTATGGTCCTCAGGCAAAGCTTTTATAGATCTAGAGCTCAGCAGAGAAAAATGATTTGTGGAAATATCATGTCATCAAGATCCTGGGTAAAGGTTGCAGTGTCAGAGAATCTGGGCGGGATTGGGGAAGGGGGGCTGCAACAGCACCCATAAATGTATATTTCATAATAAGTGTATTATTTTTGTATTTATTTTTTTCAAAATAGGTATTTTCATTACACATCTGTCTCTCTCTCTCTCTCTCTCTCTGTCTGTCTCTCTCTCTCTCTCTCTCTCTCTGTCTGTCTCTCTCTCTCTCTCTTTTTCACTAGGTTTTTGTAGTGTTAATCTTACTAATGTAAATAACACTGATAGTGTAAGATTAAGCCCTTCTGCATTAAAACCGCCGTGCTTAGTGTGACTTCTTGTACACAAACACCATTCTACTTAATATTTATTTTGGACCTTGGTTGTTCTTAACTCTTTTTTTTTTTTCGATTCCTTTGAATAGATTCTTCAAATCACAGTTTATGTTTTCTTTTTTTGTCTGGCTAGTGGTAAGAAAGCATTAGAATATTTGAAACACTTGACTCCAGACCAGGCCCGTTTATACAACTAGGCAAGACTAGACGGCAGCCTAAGATGGCGACATTTGTATTTTGAAATAACACAGCGAAAGAATTGAGCAAAATAGGAGTTAAATTGAAATAGTGGAAACATTTTACAAATTAAAATTATAATTTAATGTTGATGCAAGTTCTTTAATATTGAATGCATTATTTCTTCTAGCCTTGGTGACTCGGAAAAGTGTGTGTGTGGGGGGGGGGGGGGTGGGGGGCAGGGGTAGAAAAAAAGAGGGGGGGGAATTTTTGAGCTCTCGCCTAGGGCGGCCAAAAAAAAAAAGCTAAACAATGAAAAAAAAGGCCCTGCTCCAGGCACAGCTGAAACCTGCAACGAATCTTAGGATTGACGACAAAATGATCGCAAAGAACCTTGGGTTAACCAGAACATAGAGATATAGTATTCTTTGGCTTAAATTATCAATGCCCCTTGGTTAATTTGTAAAGTCTGCACAAAAACAACAACAAAAATTTAATGGTAATAATTAATATTAAAACTTCCTTTTATTAATATAGAAAATCGAGTTTGTTAAAAAGAAACGAGCCGGAATTGAAATGTTCGACTTTTATCGTCCCGTGTCAAAATCTCCACAACGTTATTATTTAATTATGGTTTTATTTTTTTTATTTCTAATTGTTCCTCGGAAAGGGGAAAAGACATCTTTTAAAATATTAAAGATATTCTAAGCGCCATAGAGAAATCATCCAAAAAAAATCGAGCAGCAGCTAAGATTTAATTAAAGATTTTGTCGGCCTGGCTCTTTAAAATTTCCCTTGGACTTCCATTCATCCCATCCCTATGGCGCTACAACCCATGTAGGGCTTTAGCATGCCTCACTACTTCCTTCCACTCAGACCTAACTGATGCTTTTCTTTTCCATGCTTGGATTCTCAGCTGCTGCAGATCTTTTTCCACATCGTCTTTCCATCTAAGCCTACGTCTGCCCTTAAGCCGTTTTCCTCTGGGGTTTGGGTAATGTACCCCCCCCTTTTCACTCTTATCTGCGACACCTTTATCTCCGTACCTGTTACATCAGTGCATCAACTGGGACAGCTGTGTGACATATGTTGGATGTCTAACCGCAAGGAAGAGCACAAATAAAAGAGGACGACAAATAATTCAATAAATACATTTTAACAAACCGTAAGATATTGTTAAGTGCTATGAATGCATCATCTGAAATTGAAAGCTTGCCTCGCATTCCAAAGATAGAAACTAGCTTCGTATCATTTAGAATATATTTTTTTTTTACGTCTCCAGCATTTTGATTTTAAGCAGCATTTAAACCTAGTTTATACATTATCAATCTTTTAATTCTAAATAACAGTTAAATTGTATTTGACTTCACTGGAAATCAGAATGCTGTAGCATCTTAAAATGTAGCGACTCGGCGAGTACAACTCAGATTTTCTATTATCATTATTATTTGTTTTGTTTAGTTGTTTTGCGGAGGTCTCTGTCTATCTTGCCCTACAACAAAACGCGCCAATTTCGTTCTCTATCAGATAAAATGTCTCCTGCATCGTTTCTGACTTTTCTTATCTCAATTTCCTTTAACGAATATGAGTTTTATTTTAATGTTTTTAAAAAAAAAAGATTTAAAAAATTGGTAAACCAATGTACATTAACGCTGTGGGTGATAATGTTCCAATGTGCATTAACGCTGTGGGTGATAGTGTTCCAATGTGCGTTAACGCTGTGGGTGATAATGTTCCAATGTGCGTTAACGCTGTGGGTGATAGTGTTCCAATGTGCGTTAACGCTGTGGGTGATAGTGTTCCATTGTGCGTTAACGCTGTGGGTGATAGTGTTCCAATGTGCGTTAACGCTGTGGGTGATAGTGTTCCAATGTGCGTTAACGCTGTGGGTGATAGTGTTCCCATGTGCGTTAACGCTGTGGATGATAATGTTCCAATGTGCATTAACGCTGTGGATGATAATATTCCAATGTGCATTAACGCTGTGGATGATAATGTTCCAATGTGCATTAACGCTGTGGATGATAATGTTCCAATATGCATTAACGCTGTGGATGATAATGTTCCAATGTGCATTAATGCTGTGGGTGATAATGTTCCAATAAGCATTAATTCTGTGGATGATAATGTTCCAATGTACATTAACGCTGTGGATGATAATGTTCCAATGTGCATTAACGCTGTGGATGATAATGTTCCAATGTGCGTTAACGATGTGGATGATAATGTTCCAATGTGCATTAACGATGTGGATGACAATATTCCAATGTGCATTAACGCTGTGAATGATAATCTTCAAATGTGCATTAACGCTGTGAATGATAATCTTCCAATGTGCATTAACGCTGTGAATGATAATCTTCCAATGTGCATTAACGCTGTGAATGATAATCTTCCAATGTGCATTAACGCTGTGAATGATAATCTTCCAATGTGCATTAACGCTGTGGGTGATAATGTTTTAAATTAGACAGATGTCCACCGGAGGAAATCTTCAATTCACTTGACGCGATAAACTCATGGGCTGTTAGATTCGGAACAAGATTATTGTGTTCATGTCTTATCGCGTCCATTTAGAAGAAGTAGTATCGGGCTATTTTTAGACTAAGGAATTCTGGCCTCGAGGACTTTTTTTGTCTGATTTACGAACTTAAAATATTCCTTTACCGCACTTGCTATCCAGGACATTACTTAAGGGAAACATCAGAATATTTATAAATATTTTGTTAAAAAACAAATGTGTTTCATTTGAATAGATCACATAGAAAAGAAAGAAAAAATAATTACATTGTGAACACTCTTGGTCTATTTGAATGAATATATTACGCTAATTCTTAATAAACTGCAGAGGTTTATACTTTAAAAAAAAAAAAAAAAAAAATTTTCTTAAAAGTTTATCTTACAAAAAAAAAAAATTGTGAACACTCTTGGTCTATTTGAATGAATATATTACGCTAATTCTTAATAAACTGCAGAGGTTTATACTTTAAAAAAAAAAAAAAAAAAACTTTTCTTAAATGTTTATCTTACGAAACAATAATGCTCACGATATTATCTAATATATAAGGCTCGGTTTGACTAGGCCTGTCTGTCTGTCTGTTTGTGTGTTTAAAGTTGGGTCGATTAATCACAAGAAAGCCAAACAATGGATGGTAACCAAATTTGACATCATCGTTCCGCCAGAGCTACAGATAGTGCCTGAAAGTTTGGTCATAATCGCCACATTCCAAAAGCTGTCATTTTTTTAAAAAAATCCAAAATATACACGGTAAAGAGTAAAATATACATGGCAAAGAGTAAAATATACACGGTAAAGAGTAAAATATACACGATAAAGAGTAAAATATACACGGTAAAGAGTAAAATTTACACGGTAAAGAGTAAAATATTTTTATTTCCAATGACTTCGAGGGACGTTCAAGATTAGTTAGTTTTGGTGTATGCATTTTTAATAAGATCACATTCATAACGGTGCGCTTTCAAATAGCTATTAATGGAATGTTCGGTAAACTTTTGTTTATTCAGCATCAAAAAAATAATATTTTGTACGCTTTATAAATCCTTTATAAAATGCAACATCGAGCAACGGGAGGTGGGGGCTGAAAATGTTACAAAACATACATACAAGTAACGCACTCTATAGTGCTTCCCATTCCACTTTTTTTTTCCCCACCTAATGCCCTACCCGCTTTTACACCGCAGATTTATTGCATCAACTATTGGTGAAAAACAAAAGAAAATGTTAAGCAACAAAAATTTTTTGGCAACACGTCTGTTTGCCAAGTTTCAGCTCGATAGGTTGACGGGAAGTGAATCAATGGTCGCCAGCAAGCCAGGAACAAAAGGTAAATTAATATACTGATTTAAAAAATAGCTTCAAATACCAGTGACATTGTCTAGTTTATGAGTGTTCATCGAAAAGACAGAGCATCAGGCGTTCAAGAAAGTAAATACACTAAAGCACTATTTGATGGATGGGCTTTGTTATCATTCAACAACCAAGTTAGTGATGATTTTCGTTAAGCGACCAAAAAAAAAATCGCAAAGACGTGCGTGAATGTCGTTGTTAGCAGTTTCGTGGAGTTCCACGTTCTGTGTAATTACGCGATACAGGCACGATAATTTAGCACGGGTTGTCGACCGTATGTCATCACGAATAACACCGGAGTCATTGATAAGACGAGGATACACAGAGTGTCGAAACTAAAGAGATTCCTTCGGGTGAGGCCAGAACAGTGGTTCTCAAATGCTTTGACTATCCTGAAATGTAAAAATTTTGCGTGCTTTCATTGGTCATTTTAACCACAGAAAATCCCAGGGAACAAATGCTTGTGGAAAATTAAAATGCATGGACGTGCACAAACACCTAACGCAGTTCATTAGGGGTCAAAGGTTATCCGTTCTATTATTAACTGTAGGCCTGCCTTCTATAGTGGAGCCATTCAAATAATGTAAGAAGCATTTTTTTTACCAAACTGCAACGAAACAATTGAATCCGTCCCAAAGTGTCAAGCTAAACTAAAAGGTGAAAACCACAGCATGGCGAAACAGACTCATGAAACCAAGGTCACCGTTTAAAAAAAAAAACAAACAAAAAACAAAACAAAAACAAACAAACAAACAGCATGGTAAGGCGGAGCACCGGGAAGGATGATTTGTTGACCCTAAAAGACCCTAGGTGGGTGCTGAAGTACTACATGAAGGCAATCACTAATGGAAAGTAGTTTAAGCAACCCCGGGCACGAACTTTTGAGCCTTTTGCTAAATGTAACGGGCAAGAGACCTAGTAAGTGATCAATGGGGAACTACGTGGTCTCTCATGGCAATGTGGATTATGTGGACGTCTGAGCTGTAGGGCGTAGGCTGTCATATGCAGAGATGTGGTCGTTCGTGGTAATGTGGCTTGAAGGTAATAATCTGGTCTCTCATAGTAATGTGGGGTATGCGGAATTTTTCGGTCTTTAAGGGTAATGTTGTTTATCTAGCTATTATCTTGAAGATGCATATGGGCCAGTGGTGTTTATGGTTGCAAGACTTAGAATGGGTATTCTCGTATGCAGTTTTTGTAATGTTGCATTCTGTACTTCAATGTGGTATGTACCGCGCTTCGAGCCTTTGGGGATGAAGCGTGATTTTCAAATAATCTTTATGATTATTATTATTTAATGTGGGATATGTGTCTTATGTTGTCTTTCTGGAAGGATATTCACGGATATTTATTAAGACTGGAGAGCCGGATGTTTATTTTAATCAATATATTACAACACCTCGTGACGTAATTTTTTTTACACCGGTATACACATATAGTTCTTTGACTATGTCAGTCAGAGGCGGGGGAACCAAGCACGACATAATTCATGCGAAAAGACAATTAATTTGAGAACCATGGTTCCAACCCTCGTCAGATGCACCTGCATGAACTACACAGTATCATCTATCTACCGCCTGCAACAGTCTGCTCCTGGAAGTCATTCTTTTCTAATTTAGCCAGCAGAGCGTGAAGCAGTAACACAATATTGTTAGCTGGCTTCTGTGTATAAGAAAGACCTTCACCCCCCCCACCCCACTCTCTCCCCACAACCCTTTTCTTTATGGCGAGCCATGCCTTCATTCAACACGCCGCGGAGAGTGCACAAGTGGTTCCCAACAATCAATTTAAGCACAGGAATGTTTTGGTGTCTCTATATTTTTTTTTATGTATTATGGGCCATAAATAACCAATGGTAAATTAAAAGGACATGCTATTTTAACAAGGGACAGATGACGCAGGAGGGATGAAAGGATTGGTGCCAGCTCCGCAACGAACATTGTTTACGATCTGTTTTAACGAGGATAGCCGCGCGTGCGTTAACCTTCCGTTAAGTCGTCGTTTGCGATGTTCAGAGCTCGTTCTGATTGCTTCTGTTGTTTTGACGATTAAAGAATGGCGCAAGGGTTTGTGTGCACACAGTTGTTTATTGCACACGTTGCGGCGAGGTCGTCGGGTGCGCGGTCTGTGCGAGTGTAATGGCGCCAGCGGAAATAGTGTAGGCGCCCTTCATAACGGATGGAACAGGAAGAGATAACTTTTTTTTTTTTAAAGTTATTTTCATAACACTTCCTTTGTTTCAGTAAAATGAGGCATGCATATTGATTTACTGTTCTTTAAGTTAACTTCGTTGAATTCTTTTTTTTTTCAGCGCCAACTATTTTAAACCGAGTTTGTCCATACGTCGATCGTTGCATTGATATTTTGGCCTGAAAGGATCTACGGCAATGTTGCCAAATGGTACGGTATTTTTTGTATACTCATCAGTTTGCTTTTTTTAAAATTTCTTAGTGTCCATTTTATTAGGGTCCAAGTATTGAGCAAGCGATTAATGACGGTTTAAAAATAATATTGCGATAGATCAGTAAGGAAGTGCCCACCGTTTCATTTGTTGTCCTCTCGGAGACTACTTCTCAGCCAAGTGCTATAGTTTTAAAATTGTATTCTCCTTGTTCGCTGACGAAGGCTTCCTGCCGACACGTTCGTTGTTTTGTTGCATTCCTTTTTCCAGGTTTAACCTAACTTTGTTTTACTAACAACCTGCCTATCATTAGCATGATTTAAGCTTTAACAAAAAAAAAAATATATACATTTATACGTTAATAAAAACGTTTAGTGGCAATACCTCTCATAATGATATCGTGAAATTTAAATTATAAATACTTGAAAGTCACCATTTAATTTCAGTACCACGTGACACGGACGTCCCAAACATTCTTTTTTTTTCCCCTAAATCTTATAGTGCTGTATGTAAGATGGCTCTGATAACATAAATTAGAATTTAAATTGGAGACCAATGATAAAGGCAAGGAAAAAACAAATGTGGTGAAACTTGAGATATTTCCGTAAAATAAAAATACAAGGACAATTAAATTTTTATTTTTTAAAAATTAAAAAAACAAAAAACTTTCAATCAAATTTAAAAAAAAAATTTCTAATGGTTGTTTTATGTTAGAATCATGCATCTATAAAATGTGACTATTTTCCTGGCTTCTATTTTGACTTCATTAAATTCATCCTTCTATCAAACATTCCCCCCCCTAGCTACGGAACTATATTCTCCTTTGTGAGCCGAAACCCCCCCCCAAGACTTCTCTAAACCTGCCCTAGACATCCATCTCTCTAATCCAGTCATTAAAAGCAATCTTCCAGATAACCACCCGCCCATCTCGGCACGTCCCGACGCACGCCGGCCGTTCATTGTCTCCGTTGACAGACTCACTTATCTAACAACATGCAAAGGTTTCACCATTCGGAATGAAAGTTTGGGTCCTGGCGGGTGGTGCACACGCTGCACGAGCTGAGGGTAACTTGAGACCCGCCTCAACGTTTCGGCTGCTCATTAAATTGTCTTCTTGCCAGCGCTACAAAAAAAGATTGCCCCCTTACTCCGGCCCGTGAGACGGATGTGTTTCGGCTAATAAGGCCGCACATATAACCATCATTCGGTCTATTAAGCTCATGGTTAGTTTTGGGTGTTTTTTTTTTTCTTTTAACGATGGCTTCCGAGAATTCGTGATATCGGGATTTTTTTGTTAGTGTACGTTGATAGGCAGTTGACGCCACATAGGCAACATTTTTTTTTCCCATTCTCTAAGGTACACAAGCGAACTTAGGTCAAACGGAATCCATACCTGAGGCACAAGTATAGTGTCAGGAGCTAGGGCAGGAGACATGATTACAACTAATGGAGCATGGATGAAGTGCCCCCTTCAATAACCCGTTAAATACTTAGAACAGGGCAACGAACGCCCCCTCCCCCCCCCCAAACCAGGATTGAGGAGGGCGAAATAAAGGTCGTTAATAATATCTTCTCCTGCCACTTTGAAAGCTTAGCCCTGGTTTTACATAACACTCCGTCGCGTGGCCAGGTTGTAAGGTAGGTTTTGGGTGGAAAGCTGGGGTTGTTGGGTAGATGGTGGGTTGAAAGGTGGGGTTGTGGGTAGATGGTGGGTTAAAAGGTGGGGTAGTAGGGTAGATGGTGGGTTTAAAGGAAGGATTGTAGGGTAGATTATGGTTTTAAAGGTAGGGTTGTAGGGTAGATGGTGGGTTGAACGCTGGGGTTGTGGGGTAGATCGTTGGTTAAAAGGAGGAGTTATAGGGTAGATGGTGGGTTTAAAAGTAGGATTGTAGGGTAGATGATGGGTTTAAAGGTGGGTTGTAGAGTATGTGATGGATTAAAAAGCCGGTTTTTACAGTAGTTGGTGGATTAAAATTTCAGGTTGTAATGTGGGTGGTGTGTTGAAATACCAGGTTGTAGTGTGGGTGGAGGGTTGAAATGCCAGGTTGTAATGTGGGTGGTGTGTTGAAATACCAGGTTGTAATGTGGGTGGTGGATTGAAATACCAGGTTGTAATGTGGGCGGAGGGGTTAAAATGCCAGGTTGTAGGGTAGGTGGTGGGTTGAAAGGTGATACCAGTGAAAAGCTCAATCACAGAATAGTAGGCATCCCGAAGATTCAGTAAACAGGATAACGATGAACAGGATAACGATGAACAGGATAACGATGAACAGGATAACGATGAACAGGATAACGATGAACAGGATAACGATGAACAGGATAACGATGAACAGGATAACGATGAACAAGATAACGATGAACAGGATAACGATGAACAGGATAACGATGAACAGGATAACGATGAACAGGATAACGATGAACAGGATAACGATGAACAGGATAACGATGAACAGGGACCTTGGGCCTTGCAGAGGATTTTTGAGTCCCGGGGAAATCCAAATTTTGGGGCCCGACACATTTCATAACAGTTTTAACAAACGTATCAATATCCACCCGTTAGGTCTCCCAAGCGGGCTTGGCGCCGAATGATTTAATCGGTTGGCCTCTGCACGCCCCCCCCCGATGATGATAAAAACAAAAGAAAAAAAAACAACAAGAGACGCCCGAGGGGCAAAAAATAATGACAAGAAATGGGTGAAGGAGTTTGTGAGAGAACTACTAACAGGTCAACGCAGAGTTAGTGGACAGTGAATAAGAAAAGCTAAAAGAAGATCTGAAAGAAGACAAAGTCAAAACAAAGAACTTGAAGGCATTCTGTTTTTCAGGGTGCAATAATGTAGGTTTAAAAAGAAATTGAAGTATTAATTTTGTAAAAAATATTGCAAAAACTTTAAAAAAATCATGTATCCTGTGTATTTGTAAAAAAGTTTCGACTTGGGGAGGTTGATCAAAATTGAGAAGCAAGATCCGACCCACGGAGGTCACTCAAGGGTCAGAGGAGGTCACCGCTGATCTGCCGATCATGAAAGATTGTATTTTGATTGGAGGTGGGCAGTTGTACAAAGTGTCAGCTCAGTTAGCGATCAGGAAGTGGGACACCATTGAAATGCAAGATTTTACCCGTAGAGGTCAGACATGAGTCGCTAAAGGTCGCTGCTCACCAACTGATCGTGTAGGTTTAAGCTGTCACCGGGATTGAACCATCGCCATTTTAAGTCCATCAAATAAAGCGAACAGGTGGAAAATTAAAGTGCAAGTTTTAAAGGGGCCAGTTGAGGCCGACGGTGGTCACGGTTGACCTACTGATCACCAAGGGCTGCGTTGTCGCCGGGATTAAGAAACCGTGCAACAGGTCATGTCCATCGGGAGAAGGAAACAGTTAGAAAATTGAATTACAAGATTGACCAAACACACAAACACACAGACACAGAAGCAAGCTAAATAAAAAAACGTATACTAAATTGAACAACCTTTAAAAAAAAGTTTTTCGTATCGATCTGTTGATGCATTTTAGTATACATTATATTAATATTCAAATGACCCACTCGTTTTTACAATACAGATTTATTTCGGCAACTATTTCAGAAAAATAAAATCTTACGCTTAAAGCACACTTGCGATTTAAATTAAAAAAAAAAAAAAAAAGAATATCATTTAGCGTTGTTATCGGAAATTGTATTGTGTAACACCAGGATAAACTTATTTTTTGTGGGTTGGGGGTTAGGGGCTGATCGTTTGATAGAATGTGTTGCCATTGGCAACAGAAGACAGTGGAGTCAGTTAAGCACTGGGCGACCATAAACAAGCTCAAATTGAATGATGATAAGACTGAGCTGATCCCCATCGCGACCGCTCAGAAGCAAAAATCTGCAAATAACACGACATCCATTACTCTCTCAGGTGTGCGTATTGAGTTAGCTCAAACAGTGAGGTACCTGGGTGTCTACCTAGATAGAAGACTAACTTTGGAAATAGCCATTAACATGCTATGCAAGGCGATTTTTCCAGAGCTGCGCAGGATTAGTCACATCAGGCCCTTCTTAACAATTGATGCAACAAAGAGGCTGATGCCTGCATTTGTGCTATCACGCATGGACTATTGCAATGCTCTCATGATGGGTCTTCCAGCTACACTCCTGGATAAAATTCAAATAGCACAGAATAATGCGGCTCGCATTGTTCTTTGCAAACGCAAGTTCGATCATGCTAAAACACTTCTGAGAGAGCTGCACTGGCTGCGCTCCATGCTCGCATAGAGTACAAAATTGCAACTTTGTGCTACCGCTGCTTACATGACCTGGCACCGTCCTATCTGAAAGAGCTGCTGACGCCTTATGTACCCACTAGACCACTCCGCTCATCCGATAGTGGTGAACTCTTGACACCACGTGTTCGCCTTGAGACTTACGGAAAGCGCACTTTCGCCTTTGCTGGTCTAACAATTTGGAACGCCCTTCCTGTGGCTCTCAGAAACAACCATACACTGGAGTCCTTTAAAACCGATTTAAAGACACATCTACTTGGCAAACACATTCTGGGATGATTGTCTACACTATTTTCCAGTTAATGCATATTAGCTGTGTTGCTTAGGGTTGAAATGGGTAGAATGACTTTGAATTGGTATGTCTGTAATTAGTTTTGTAGTGTTGCGTTTGTTTAAAATGATGTAAATTATAGTTGTTGTTTTTTTAACTTTGTACCGAGCTTCGAGCTCTGGGGATGAAGCGTGATTTTGAAATAAACTTTATTATTATTATTATTATTATGTTCAAAGTTGCAGCTGGATAATTTGGTAGGAAGTGGGTCAATTAGCCGTCCGAAGATGTTGTCCTAAACACACAAAATGGAAGTTAATAAAAACGGATTTAAAAAGAACGTATCTCACGGGTTGGAAGCTGTGAACGCAGTGAGAAAAGTAAATATTCAAAGCCAGACTCCCCGTAAACAGTTATAAGGTATTCAGAAGAAGGAATGGAAAATAAGGAAGAGAAAATAAGGAAGAGAAAATAAGGAAGGGAAAATAAGGGTGGTGGGGGGAACACGCACTAAGAGCTTATTATTAGGTAAATAAATGTACACTATGAACCGTGTACAAAAATGTACATTCCATTAGAGAGAGCTTTTCAAAGAACCCACCACCGACTTACTTCAACTTGATCGGATGTCTGGTATAGTTATAGAGTTTGATCGGTTGTCTGGTCGAGTTATAAGACGCCGACCTGTCAAGATCAAGATTACCTTCTAAGACTGTGATATACTTGTCGTCGGACCATTTTATTTCCTTACTAACACGACGTTAAGTCAGACGAGACGGGTGTTACGCACTGGCTTCTAATATGAGAAATTAATCTCCTATTTTACTTTTATTGGCTCGCTGTAAACAGTGCCTAATAAAGGACGATACCATAGAGTCAACAATATTAAAGATACGACACCCAAAACAGTTTCTAGTTACAATTAATAAGATTTATTAAGTCTTAATATAATTACAAAAGAAAAGAAAATATAATGACAATCTTCAAATTACACTATGGTAGATCTTGTACCGGTACACAGTGAACACAGTTCATACAATGTGCCAAAGAATAATTATTAAATGCGAAATAAACACATACATAAGAACACAAAGAATAATACACGTCTCGTGAAGTTAATAAAACTTATCTGAATCTCCGTCTCTACGTCCCTGCCTGTCAATCCCTTATATAGGTCGCGTAAGCTCTGCCTTCCAGAAAAGACTTACGACGTGTTGTTTACATTTCTCGGGTTATCGAGCACATTAGAGAAAACACCAGAAAGACAGTCTAACATATTTAATTGGTAACCACGGTTGTAAACAAGATCCATCAAACGAATAGGCCAGGCCCACAACAGACGTTACTGTCTGCTAGGATTCTAATTTAGGTTAAGTAAAGTTCACGCACGGAAAATGTTTGCTACATTACAATGGGTCATTTTTTTCTGCCCCCCCCCCCGCCCCCCCCATTTTTTCTTTAAAATAGGGTGTTTTTTTTTTTCCCCCCCCCCCCCCCCCAAATAAAATATGACATGAAATTTTAAGATGCATTTAATCACTATGAAGTAACGACCAATTAACTTTATATTCATTGCGCACAAGTACATTTTGGAGTTTTATAATGGGAAAACTGACACCCTTCTCCCCCCCCCCCATTTTTTCCCACCCCACTACTCACAAGTTGAGAATTTAGCCCCCTGTCAAGACTCCACTCACATAATGTCTGTTGGCACCACAATAGATTATGTGGCACGAGCGCGCATGATCGCCTGCGTGCATTAGCATGTTAACCACGCTACCAAAAACATTTTTAAAAAATAACGGCTCAGGGGTGGGGTGAAAACAATTCTCTCCGGTCTTAATTTGTCAAGTGACGTCATGCGAAGGTTTTTTTTTTTATATTTTTTTTTTTATATTCTCGTCCGATAACAAATAGGGTGTATGATGACGTCACAACTTTTTTGTTTGTTTTGTTCTTGTAACCTGCAGCATTCATGCTCGATAAGCTTAAAGGCATAACTCCTATAACGCTAAAATAGACACCTCTACTCGACGTCGTTGCGCCTCCTTGATATCAACAACTCTGGTACTCATGAAGTATTGCATTCGTAAGCCGAAACGAATTTTGAAAAATACTTAAAATTAATAAGACATCAGTTTGTAAAACTATTTAATTCCAATGCCTCATTTATGAACTATATATTTGAATGTTTAGAATCCAGAAGGATATGTTTAAAAAAAAATATTATCAAATATGTACCTTTCTGTGTGCTTTTTCTTGGCACTGGACAGTAGCAAATACCGGGAGATACACACATTTAAGGATGATCATTGGTATAAAAGGAGGGGGAAAGTGTGTGTGTGGGGGGGGGGATAAATGATGTTTTAAAATATAATAATTTAATTGAAATAGCTGAATCTAAATTCTATTATGTTATGTAAATACACGATTCTCCAGCCCACTTTTTTTTTCGCCCCCCCCCCCCCTACCGACCACACAATTGAATATTAATAAACAATTCATTGTTTTCTGTTATCTGATAAGGCATTTTTCATATCTTTTCTACACAAATTACCGTGACAATCGCTGGCAATTTCCTGATTTTAAATAACTTATACCTTTAACTTTTTTGGATTCGCTGCACACGTTTACGGCTAACTTCTTATAAGATACGTGTAAACCGTTACATAACACAAGTAATAAAATAACGACTGATTTTCTAGATATGCAGAGTCCGTCTCTGTCTTGTAAGGAGCAGGCCGTCTCCGTCTTCTGTGGAGCAGATTGTCTCTGTCTTATGTGGAGGAGGTCTTCTCTGTCTTACGTGGAGGGTGCCTTCTCTGTCTTAAGTGGAGGAGGCCTTCTCTGTCTTGTGTAGAGCAGGCCGTCTCTTTCTTAATGGGTAGCAGGCCTTTTCTGGCTTATGTGGAGGTCTGTCACTGTCTTATGTGGAGGAGGCCGTTTTTTTCTAATGTGGATGCGCATGTATCTGTCTTTTATGGAGGAGTCCATCTCTGTCTTATGTGGAACAGTCCGTTTCTGTCAGTCCTACTCAGTTATTCTCAAAGTGGTCTATATTGGCCCCCAGTGGTCGACAACAACTTGCAAGGGGTCCATGTCAGGGAAAAAAATTGGGGATGCATGAAATGAAAATGAGGATCTCATGTAAGCAGGTCGTGACTTCTATTTTGGCATTCCATGAAAGGAATAATCCACATACACATATAGTCCCTATTTACTTAAATAAGATTACCTTATAATATAAAGACATAACTTCCTGAATAAATTATAAAAGTTCGTATGAAGTCAACATTTTAAAAACATAAGTGTTCATGAAACGTGATGAAGAATGATATTACAATTTAATTTATTAGGTATATTTTCTGATATGTGAAACTGTCAAAGAATTATTCTAAACGAGCAGTTTCCCGCGGCTCCACCCGCGTACGTTTTTATTTTCTTTGCGTGCAAGGTTTTATTTTGTAGAAAAAAACAAAGTATCTTTCCGCAGTAAATTGTAGCCTGTGTCAGCTCCTTAGCCAGCTAGGCCTCCAAATGTGTCAGCTCCTTAGTTAGCTAGACCTCCAACTGTGTCAGCTCCTTAGTTAGCTAGACCTCCAACTGTGTCAGCTCCTTAGCCAGCTAGACCTCCAACTGCGTCAGCTCCTTAGTTAGCTAGACCTCCAACTGTGTCAGCTCCTTAGTTAGCTAGACCTCCAACTGTGTCAGCTCCTTAGTTAGCTAGACCTCCAACTGTGTCAGCTCCTTAGCCAGCTAGACCTCCAACTGCGTCAGCTCCTTAGTTAGCTAGACCTCCAACTGTGTCAGCTCCTTAGTTAGCTAGACCTCCAACTGCGTCAGCTCCTTAATTAGCTAGACCTCCAACTGTGTCAGCTCCTTAGTTAGCTAGACCTCCAACTGTGTCAGCTCCTTAGTTAGCTAGACCTCCAACTTTATCTGCTGACAAGATCACGGAGATTTGTTGCTTGGGTTTTACGTGAAGACGTAACAAACAGACCGACGATACACTACGACGGTTTTGTATACAAACTTATTTTCGCAATTATAATATTGGTAACGAAGGAGGGATTTTATAATGTGCTCTATTATTCCCTCTACATATTAATAAAATTAAATTTGTATTTTTCATAGTGAGTATACCGGCTGTCAAAAATACATTTGAAGTAAATGATTTTTTTTTTTAATCAATGACAGGTAGGCAGGGGGTCTACCCAAAACCGAAAAACATGGTTAAGTGGTATACGAGACAAAAAAGTTTGGGAACCTCTGGACTCTAACTGATCTGTTCACGTGTTAAAATACTAGTTATGTTGTGTCATGACACGCAGCTCATAATACCTTTCGTTACAGTTGCGATTCTGTCTACGTTAACCTTCTCCAAATCTAAGTATCTTGTTGTTATTTTCTCTGCTCTGCACTAAACAAATACATAGAACAAGGGCGAATGCTCTGCACTAAACAAATACATAGAACAATTGCGAAGTCTCTGCACTAAATAAATACATAGCACAAGGGCGAAGGCTTTGCACTAAATAAATACATAGAACAAGGGTGAATTATCTGCACTAAATAAATACATAGAACAATGGCGACGTCTCTGCACTAAACAAATACATAGAACAATGGCGAATGGTCTGCACTAAATAAATACATAGCACAAGGGTGAAGGCTTTGCACTAAATAAATACATATCACAAGGGCGAATGATCTGCACTAAATAAATACATAGCACAAGGGCGAAGGCTCTGCACTAAATAAATACATAGAACAAGGGCGAATGCTCTACACTAAACAAAACACGTCATGAAACAAAATCTCTTGAGAGGTAAAAAAAAAATTGAAACGTATCATTTTGACTTAGACCTGAACCGCGCTCTCAAAATAATCCTGACAATTATCTACCACTTCACACACCCAAACCCCCCCCCCCAATCCCGCACACCACCACGACCACCACCCCCTCATTTCAGTAGTGGAAGCCCACCAAAGGGAGTCGATGAAAGCCGCAGACACTCACGGACGCGGCGCTCTTACAGTCTTCTTACTCACGTGCGGTACGGTCAGTCACGCAAGCTCAAGGTCATGGGCGAGACGTCAATTTCATATCAAGTCTGAGGTCAAAATGTCCACAGACGAGAAATTAATAACAGGAGGGAAAAAAAACAAACAACGTCGCTGCCTGGAACCATCTGACTGCAGATGGCGGAGTAGGTCAGCGGTAGTGTGGTGAGCTGTTCTCGGTCATGGCGGATATTGAATTTATTGGCTGTAGGAAGATGAAGCGGCGTTAAAGCTAGTGATGTCCTGGCAGTGTTTAAAGTTTAAACCAACTTACATCCAAGTAATGAGTTCATATAAATTGACGAACACCTCAGCATCAAGCACGATATTTAAGGCAACCTGACGGCTAATTAATAATCGTGTATTTATCTGAAAGACCTTATGATGAGATTTCGTACGTTCCAAAACATATTTTTATGGTCTTAATTCATCTCCTTCTGTCCCTTTACTTTCATAATCTTGACTGATCCATCGCAAAGCAAAGAAAAAAAAAACAACGAACAACTATAACACACGTAGAGATTATTTAGATTGTGAATGACATGGTGAAGCCTGGCAGTGATGAAACAATATAAAATGAGTAAAACAGAGAAGGGTTAAACCTGAAAATAGGAACGCAACAAAACAACCAACAAAAATTGGATATATTTGTACCAGCTATGTCCCTTCCATACATTGATCTGAATTAGTTGCGGTTGGAACGGGACATATCAGCTTATGACTATACGCTTGGATACTTATCCATTTTTTGTATCATTTGCCTTTAGCCTGGTTTCTATTACTAGACCGACACACCTTGAAGCTGGAACTAGGGGATTGATTTACGCCCTACACCAAACTATCTGACAGCTTCTAGAAGGACTTCGAGATCCAAGGATTCTTACTACCACGATTTATCGCTGGAGAGTCATCTTCTCCATCGCAAAGATCCCACGGAATCTACGACCGGGGAATTCCGACTTCATTACGCTTGGAACGGCTCCGAGGACCGGAACAGGGACATGATTCTGGAACATAAGGAGCTCCCACACTGTGTGATCCACCGAGATCCTCAGTGGAACTATAAAAGCTAAGTCCACAAAGATTGAACATAGAACCTTGAGCAGTATAGCATTTATAATGATGATACCGTCAGCATGTTAGGGACAATTGTTTTAGCATTGATATACTTTTCTGATTGGATGAAATCCATTAGATGTGTATATATTAATCACCAAGAGTGTATTACGGAGGAATTTGTACATATTATTATTCAATAAATACTTGTATTTGTTTTCTCCTTAACAAAGACTTCGTTTCAGTCTATACTATATGTATATAGATAGGTTATTATATCTTCATGGTTATTTGTTTATAAATAACTAATCCCTAGAAAGAGTGCCAAGAGGAGATCTCATACGAGAGATACCCCTCACTAATAAATATTAAGTCAGATCACCACAGTCAGAAGCACGGTTTGTGGCCAGGTTGAGTGGAAGTCAGCAGCACCGTTTGTGGCAGGGTTGAAAAATAGTTAGTAAACGCCAACGATCGTGTGCCAGATTTAGAGTTAGTAAGCACCACAGATAGAGGGCAAGTTTGAGAGGTAGTAAGCACCAAATGTAGTGGGCCAGGTTGAGGAATAGTAAGCACCACCGACAGTAGGCCAGGTTGAGAGTTAGTTAGCACCACATATAGAGGGCCAGGTTGAGAGTTAGTAAACACCACATGTAGTGGGCCAGGTTGATGAATAGTAAGCACCACCGACAATACGCCAGGTTGAGAGTTAGTAAACACCACAGATAGAGGGCAAGTGTGAGAGTTAGTAAAAACCACACATAGTGGGTCAGGTTGAAGGGCAGTAAGAGCCACCACAGATAGGAACCAGGTTGAGAGGTAGTAAACATCACAGACACTGGGCCACGTTTAGAGGTAGTAAGAGCCACCACAAATCTACTTTGACTGTCATTGGTCTTCATTAGAAAAAACTGAGAATCGCTTAATTCGGCCTCGAACATTCCAAAACGAGATAATGGAATTGGGAAATTCACATAAAAAATGAATGGAAAAAAAATGAAATGCAGATGTCAGAAAATTCAGAGCATGCTCAACAACCAATCAAACTTTTTTACGCCATATAATTTTTACATTTTTTTAATTGCAAAAATGTGCACACATTTGAGATAATTTAATCTAAATTAAAGAGGAGTGGGGAAATATGAAGTACATATGGCTAAAGACTAACAGGTACGGTTTTGGCAGGTTTAATAGAGAGAAAAAAGCATTGTCAATGAAAGGAATGTGTCTAGATTTTTTTATTGCAACACTCTTCTGATTCCATCGTTTGTCGTGGATGATGAAAACATATTTGTTTTCTTAACAAACTAAAAAAAAAATAAATTCAGGTTTCTTGAAAGGAAACATAAAAGTTAACGTAAAAAATATGAATATGAGAAGCTCTCTGGACTTCCTCGAGTACCCTCATGAGGTCTTTGCTAGAGTACCCTCATGAGGTCTTTGCTAGAGTACCCTCATGAGGTCTTCGCTAGAGTACCCTCATGAGGTCGTTGCTCGGGTACCCTCATGAGGTCTTTGGTCGAGTAAGCCAATGAGAAGTTTAGTTTCAGACCAAGAGCAGAATTGTCACGTGTTATAAATCTATTAAAACTGTTTTCTAGATGCTTCTGTATCATACATGTATGGTTTGAAAGACGTCATTACTTGCCACTGTCGTTATAAAAGATTGAGAGTCGTAGAAGGAATTGAACGTATTCTGCTCAAATTCTATTATCTCACAGTGTTTCCCAATTGTTCGAGATCCATGTACCCCTGTCAATAATTTGCGTAACACCCAGTAACTCCCTTGTTAAAATTAAAATTATATATACATTAATAACATTTTTTTTCGTTTGCAGCCCGGACCAAACTCTTCCCGTATCCCCAGGGGCAATGTTCCCTCTAAGTTTTGCAGGTTCGTGTGCAAAATCATACAGTTGTGTGCAAAGTTTTACATCATCGATTTTTTTGTGTGCAACATTTTACAGCCCACAAATAAGAATACACACTTGCATAGAAATTTTCTGCGCGGATACTCAAAACTGCTGCGCGGCGTCTGTGAGATAGTTGCGCGGCCGCGCAGCCCCGCAGCTTAAAGGTAAACATTGCCCAGGGGTACGCGTACCACACTTTGGGAAACACTGGAGTAGGGTATGGCTGTCTGGAGAAATGTATATTTGATGCATGTCAGATTCAGTAACATATTCAGATTTTTCTTATTTGTATCCCCCCCCCCTCCCTCACACCCCTGTTTCCCCGCCGTAACAAACTGACACTTACCTTTCTATACACAACACAACAAGAGAAATAACTGAAGAGTAAAATTTTTCTTTTTTTTATCCCCCCCCCCCTCCCTCACACCCCTGTTTCCCCGCCGTAACAAACTGACACTTACCTTTCTATACACAACACAACAAGAGAAATAACTGAAGAGTAAAGGGCCACAACTAGGATGAACCTGTTTATACGGCAGGCCAAAGATCCCAGCATCCATCCACGGTTCATCATGAACATGGCGATCTCAGGTACTCCGAAAATCATAATGATGAGGTCCGCCAAGGCCAGGTTGATGATGAGCAGGTTGGTCACCGACTGACGCATCTTCAGGTCGGTCAGGATGACGACTATGACCAGACAGTTCCCGATGATTCCGACGACGACGATGGTGAAGAAAAGACACGCGAGACAAATGATGCTAGGCAGTGAGGCGGCAAGTCCGAAGGTGTTCGGCATGATGGACACTTGGCTGTGATTGCCAAAGGGCAGGTCGGGCAGGCTGTCTGCGCCGGTGGACTGCCAGGTGGCGCTGTTGTCCAACGGTGGCACTGTGGTGAAAGAGACGACTTGTTCTGAGGATGTGTTCCAAATAAATGTGACATTTGGTGGTGAGAGCCCAGGATGTGTTTCCGTGGTAACATCGTAAACTGTTTGATTATTCATGGCGCTGGAATCAATCGTGCATCTGAAAAGTATGGAAAAATTGTAAAATGTGTAAATGCATGACACTGACAAAAATTGGGGGCGTAAATTAGCGGGGACAGTATGAAGGGGGACAGTTTGAAGGGGGACAGTATGAAGGGGGACAGTATGAAGGGGGACAGTATGAAGGGGGACAGTATGAAGGGGGACATGTGAGTGTAGACGACTAGCGCTAAACAAATTTATAAAATCAGATCTGAATATTTTATCCTTATTGTCATACAATTATATGGTTAAGAAAGAGATTACAAGGAGATTTCTTTTCTGAACACTTTATCACTCTTCTTTTGCCTCAGTAGGGTATGATTTTGTGTCCCTTTGTGTTAAACAAAAACAAAAACCCACGAGCAGTAAGATTTGCTGTTTTAATATTCACGGAAAATTGTATCTTGTACGTATGATCATGCCAACCATTTTCAATATTAATATTCCCTTCCAGAGACAAGGACTTTTTAATTTCATTTGCTTGGAAAAAATAATAAGTGTTCCAAGAAAATGTGAAAAAGAAAATGATAATAAAATTGACAGTTGAATCCTAACGAAGTTTGTATTTTTGAAATGGCGCATACGTTCCTTGTTCCAAAAGATGTATGATCTTGACCCAGTTTCAATGGTAGTAGGTTTTTAAAAATGATTGATTTAATCTTTTAAATCTATAGGATATTGGTTGTGTGTGATATTGGTTGTCTTTAATATAGATTGTCCATGATATTGGCTGTCCGTGATAGTGGCTGTCCGTCATATTGGCTGTCCGTGATATTGGCTGTCCGTGATAGTGGCTGTCCGTCATATTGGCTGTCCGTCATATTGGCTGTCCGTCATATTGGCTGTCCGTCATATTGGCTGACCGTGATATTGGCTCCGTGATATTGGCTTCCGTGATATTGGAAGCCGCGCACGATTATTAAATTGTATAATTCATTAAAAAAAGATGAAAATGCAACTTTGCTTAGCTATTACAACTTAATTTCCTGTGTCTTATAGTGCGGTAAAATATCAACATCCCTCAATCTCAGTCACAGGCAGAGATTACTGGCACTAAATTGTTTATTTAAAGATATTTAAAATAGGATAAATCAGTGCAAAAAACACTGGCGCGTGGAATGAACCGCGTGTCTAAAGGCTCAACAGATTTAGATGGGACATACATAGATGCTAATTGAAGCCTTATAGAGATGGGACATTACATAGATGTTAGTTGAAGCCTTATAGAGATGGGACATTATCTAGATGTTAGTAGAAGCCTTATAGAGATCGGACATTACCTAGATGTTAGTAGAGGCTTTATAGAGATGGGACATACCTAGATGTTAGTAGAGGCCTTATAGAGATGGGACATTACCTAGATGTTAGTAGAGTCCTTATAGAGATGGGACATTACCTAGATGTTATTAGAGGCCTTATAGAGATGGGACATACCTAGGTGTTAGTTGAAGCCTTATAGAGATGGGACATAACTAGATGTTAGTAGAAGCCTTATAGAGATGTGACATTACCTAGATGTTAGTTGAAGCCTTATAGAGATGGAACATACTTAGATATTAGTAGAAGCCTTATAGACATGGGACATTTCCTTGATGTTACTAGAAGCCTTATAGAGATGGGACATTTATTGCATTTCAATAGAGCACTGATCGAGATCTAAGAATAATTTTAGGTGTTCAGATACGAATTTAGTCGAGTCAGACCAATAACTTAAGACTGTACAGCATGGGGGCTTATCTAAACTTTAATGCCACTCACAGGCTATGAATTTTTGAAAGAATTTCTTCAGATAATCCCCAAGACAAGACAAATATAGACTCCATTATTGTGACTTTGCCAGTGAGACAAAAGCAGAACAAATAAAGACAACAGCATTCTTTAAAAGTAGCCATCACGGTGCTTCCGTCTCGTAGCGGAATTTTTTTTTTTAAGGCAACTAAAACTAGAGAGCTAAGGAAACTATTTTTTTTTTTTTTTTGCGTGGGTGCGGTGAACACGGGTTGTTAAGATCTGTTTTATGAACCACTTGTAAAAATAATAATTTCATTGTGTGGGCTCAAGATTTGCATCTAACGAATGAAGAAAATAAAGTATGCATACAGCAGTTTACAAATTACAATAATCTTCATCACATTTATGCATAAATCATTTTAAAAAAGAACATTTTTTTTTTTAGAGAACGTACATTGAAGTTCAAAAAACAATTTTTTCCTTGGGGCCGCATGGGAAATCACTGGCCACAGACTCATGAGATTTGAATCAAGCAGAGCTCCTCTGAGACGAGCAAGTTGCTCGTGGTGCAGAAAGTTAAGAGGGGCGCAGCAAGGAGCCTCTGAAGAAACTCTAGCTTTATTTAAAGGTAAGTTTACAAACCATTCGATGAATTCAGGCTTACATCGCTTTAGTTATAGTTAGTTTATAACTTAAGAACTTTAACTTGTTTAGATGGCTGAAATGACTTTTTTTTAAATCTTAAGACATCAAAACTCACCAAGAGATTAGGTAGATAAAATGTAAAAAGGAAAATATAGCGCATGAATACACTGGCCAACTGATCACCGCATGAGTACACTGGCCCACTGATCGTCGCATGAGTACACTGAACAACTGGTCAACCCATGCGTGCACTAAAAACAGCTCACCTCATGAGTACACTTAACAACTGGTCAATGCATGAGTAAACAGTCAAAATGGTAACCTTATAAATACACTGACCAACTGGTCACTCCATGAGTATAATGACCAGCTGTTCACCCCTATGAGTACACTGAGCAACCGGTCAACCCATGTGTAAACTTACCTACTGGTCACCCCATGAGTACACTGACCAATTGGTCACCGCATGTGTACACTTACCAACTAGCCACCGTATGAGTACACAGACCAACTGGTCATCGCAGGAGTACACTCATCAACTGGTCATCCCTTGTGTACATTGACCAACTTTTCATCCCATGTGTACACTGCCAACTGGTCACCGCATAAATACACTGACCAACTGGTCATTCCATGTGTACACTGACCAACTGTTCAAGGCAAGTGTACACTGGCAAACTGGTCACTCCATGAATACACTGACCAACTGGTCATCCCATGAGTATAATGACCAGCTGTTCACCCCTATGAGTACACTGAGCAACCGGTCAACCCATGTGTAAACTTACCTACTGGTCACCCCATGAGTACACTGACCAATTGGTCACCGCATGTGTACACTTACCAACTAGCCACCGTATGAGTACACAGACCAACTGGTCATCGCAGGAGTACACTCATCAACTGGTCATCCCTTGTGTACATTGACCAACTTTTCATCCCATGTGTACACTGCCAACTGGTCACCGCATAAATACACTGACCAACTGGTCATTCCATGTGTACACTGACCAACTGTTCAAGGCAAGTGTACACTGGCAAACTGGTCACTCCATGAATACACTGACCAACTGGTCATCCCATGAGTACACTTAACAACTGGTCACCGCATGAGAACAGCAACAAAATGGTCACTTCATAAATACACTGACCAACTGGTCACTTCATGAGTACAATGACCAGCTGTTCATCCCATGAGTACACTGAGCAACTGGTCATCCCATGTGTACACTGACCAACTGTCACCCGATGTGTACACTGGCCAACTAGTCACCCAATAAGTACACTGACCAACTGGTTACCCCATGTGTACACTGACCAGCTGGTCACTGCATGAGTACAATGGCCAACTGATCACCGCATGAGTACACTGGCCAACTGGTCACCGCATGAGTACACTGGCCTACTGATACCCCATGTGTACACTGGCCAGCTGGTCACAGCATGAGTACACTGGCCAGCTGGTGACTGCATGAGTACACTGGCCAACCAGTCACTGCATGAGTATACTGGCCAACTGGTACCCAATGTGTACAATGGCCAACTGATCACCGCATGATTACACTGGCCAGCTGGTCACTGCATGAGTACACTGGCCTACCGGTCACCGCATGAGTACACTGGCCAACTGGTCACTTCATGAGTATACTGGCCAACCGGTCACCGCATGAGTACACTGGCCAACTGATACCCCATGTGTACACTGGCCAGCTGGTCACAGCATGAGTACACTGGCCAGCTGGTGACTGCATGAGTACACTGGCCAACCAGTCACCGCATGAGTATACTGGCCAACTGGTACCCAATGTGTACAATGGCCAACTGATCACCGCATGAGTACACTGGCCAACTGGTCACTGCATGAGTACACTGGCCAACCGGTCACCGCATGAGTACACTGGCCAACTGGTACCCAATGTGTACAATGGCCAACTGATCACCGCATGAGTACACTGGCCAACTGGTCACCGCATGAGTACACTGGCCAACTGGTCACCCAATGAGTACACTGACCAACTCGTCACGGCATGTGTACACTGACTAACTGACAATGTTATCACCTACACTCACAATAACCATTGGAATTGTGGTAAGATGTAGCAGACAGTTTCCGATCAGCTGTTGAAAAGACAGTATGACGTATGCTAACTCTGGATTATGTTTACAGAACTTTCCCACGATTAAGAACTGTCAAGCGATTAAGAAAAGCCCAACGATTAAGAAGGGTCCAACGATAAAGAACATTCCAGCGATGAAGAACTGTCCAACTATTAAGAACTGTCCAACGATTAAGAACTGTCCAACTATTAAGAAGTGCCCAAAACTACGCAAGGTTCTGTATACAAATCTCAGTTTCATAAGTGCAGCTGATGTCAGTGAGACCAGTCAGCTCTGTGATAAACAGTGCCAAGAATCAGTTTTACTTTTAAAACAAATTCTAAAAATTAATTTTGAACACTTCCAGATCTGTAGTAGGCGCCACTTTGGCTAACGTCTGTAATTACAGTGCACAAAGTGACACTTAAGTTGTTGTAAAGTAGAAGGGAAAATTTTCAAAGGATTTTAATTTTCAAATTTCAAATACTATTGGCATAAATAAACGAACATGTTAGAAGCAAGACTATACATGAGGTATAATGACGCATACAACTGCGACACTGCCTGGAATGGGCCATGGCAACCTATGGGTTTGAAACGTGTTCACAAGCATTGTAAGACAAAATAATTTTTGCTTGGATGGATGTGAGATCAAGATTTACTGTCGGTGTTGATAAAGTCCCGTCTCCAGCACAGTCCCTCCAAAATATGATGATCTAAGCATCATCATCATCAGCCATGTTTACTTCCCACCTAATGTCATTGTTTTCGTTGCCGAATTCTTTTCCTCTCCAAAACATCCTTATGTTCGTCCCAATCACCTGTTGCTTCCTTCCTTGCAGCTAGACTATTTCCAGCCATTCTTAAAAAAAGATACTTGTATTGAGGCTGCATCATTTGTTTTCTTACATAAATTTTAATAAGTAACTGGGCTTTTGGTAAAATGATATCGGTGGGGATATTATTTTTCTAACTTTTCATGAAGAAAATAAGCTAGAAACTTTAAAAAATTAGTCCTAATTCCATTTATTTGAAGGGCCTTTAAGAAATAAAGATGCTTTTACCCTCTTTGAATCCTAATAGTCTTCTGTGATATTTGACCAAGTTAGCAATAAATGTTCTGCATGAAAACGAGATGTTCTGGCATTGAGCTCTTGAAACTTGGAAAAACATGTTTACGCAAACATCTGGGAGACCCTGTTGGGAGAGCTTTTGGGTCTTCCCGGTAATGTGCGTACAGGAACCCATCACAATTGAACGGTCCTTTGCGTTACAGCTGCAAAACATGTCGTCGACTTGGTTCCCATCAAGTTTAAAAACAACAACAGGTGAATTCGATGATAGTTTTTTTTACTTGTTAATTTATCCGAATGACAGGACTTAACAACGTAATAGAAACAAAACCATTTTTTTATGATGTTTTCGAGAACAGGGTTTCTACCTGATTATTTTCTATCGTAATATTTTTATTTTTTTTAAGGAAATGAGCGAAACAAAGTATGGGAAAACCTGGGGGGTGGGGTGGGGTGGGGTGGGAAGGACGCAGCAAAATAACGAACGTTTCGATACGAAGCCTTCATCAGCGAACAAACAAACCGTAAAAACAGAGTTAAATATAAAAAAAATAACACTTAGCTGAAATGTAGATACTCATTTCGTTTTTTCTAACCTGAATGCACTCTCTCCCCTTCATTACCATTTTGATATTTTTTTTCTTATTCAGCAAATAGACCTATTCAATGTTGGTGGTAAAAGAACGACACACGAGGTAGACTTTTAAATTTGTAATGAGACACTTCTATTTGATAGCGAGGCATGAAGTATGTAGGGTTTTTTATTTGGTGTTTCTGGTTTTCCCCTCCTTGCTGCTCAACACAATCATATTCAGGCGGTTATTTACATCATATGCCATACGACACACAAGACACACATGACACATACGACACTCACCAGCCAGTGATTTACTGACGCCCTTGTTTTGGCACGACTTACCTTACTTTCCCTAATTCCCACTGGTTATAGCATTACCATTTTCAGAACCTGCCATCTATGTTTTATTATATGCCACTTAATGTTATGCTCCAAATATAAGTGTTACGTTATCTACCCAACCACATGCATCGACTCATATGCTACGTGACGCACCAAATCCCGTGTTAGTTAAGCCCTTACGTATGTGTTTTATTTTGTTAAACAATACAAGTTATACATTTCATAAATATGTTTAAAATAAACACCCGATAATCTGATTTCATAGAGGCACGAATATCGTCAGAATCTTCTCCACGCATTCACGGATTTAAAACCCAAAAGATGTGTATACACATAAAGTGTAGTTTTGTAAAATAGAATGAAATAAATTTTCACTCTAGTTGTTTACACATAGAATTTATGTCTGTAATTCCACATAGTGAGTAGAATATGTGCTTGGTCAGCATGATCGCTGTCAAATATATCATTATTTCAGGTGGTGATCAATTTGTAAAAAAAAAAAAATATTTAAAAAATGATGAATTCAAAACGAAATTGCTTAGTTCGCTCATTTAAATATATCCTAGAATAAAAGTTACACATCATTTACATTCATAATCGGTGCAGTTTTTTTATCGGCAACATTTACCTTCTTCACTGTAACATCCAACATTGATTTCATCTCCCCCCACAGCCTACACTTAAAGCGTAACATCATATCCAAACGCTTTTATCTGTAACACAACCCATTTTTCACACTCCATCTGTTACTGTTCATACAGACATTCCTAACGGCGTGATGTGGGTGACCTTATTTTTTTATTTTTTTGGTGAGGAGTGATTTCAATAGCATTAAAAACTACGGGATTTAAGTTAAAAAAAACAAACAACAAACTACACAGCAGCTAGACATTTAGATCGAAATGATAACTAGCCCATATTGTAAACAACTCCAGACAAAGAAGGGGAAATGCTGAGGTAAGAATGACACAACCTTAAAAACTGGATATTCAAAATGATGCATAACAGATTGTTGAGACGTGGGTTATTATCAACTTATTATTTGCAGAAAAATATTAGTTTAATGCGTAAGGAAATATATATTTTTTTTTTAAATTGCTGTGTGAATGTGTAAAAGAAATATTTTTTTAAACAGTTTTACGTCACGGACATTGCGTGGCCCATACCATGAAAGAGATCGCCCCACCCCCAAATTACGTCATATCTACCAATATCCCGTGAGGATAGAAATCATATGTTATACCCAGGGGCGCCCGCAGGTAGGGGCAAGGGGGGCAATTGCCCCTTCCCCCCTGGATTGATTGGATAAACAAATTTTAGACAAAAATAGACAAAAAATTTATTAAAGTAAAGAGAAAATAAAGATAAAGTAACTAAGCTGATGTCCTGTCCGTTCGTTCACCATACAAATACGCTACAGTAAATTAAAACTATATTAAAACATTACTAAAAAAATTTTGCCCCCCCCCTGGAAAGTTAATCGATTTTTTTTGCCCCCCACCCAGAAAGTTTTCTGCGGGCGCCCATGGTTCTACCCCACCCAAAGCTATGTGCATACCGGTAATACATATATAGATACATAATTATTTAAAAATTAGCGCTATTTAGTTTTGTGCTCAACTTGGGATCACTTAAAGGTCAATGGAATCGCAAACTTCATCATCCAGCATTCAACGTTCTCCTCTGCAACGCTTCTTCTCTCAAATTTCAGACTTGCACAGTTTCAACGGACACGATAGGTTCTCTCAACTGTCGTTACCCGTTAGTTAGTGCTGTAAGCGTTGTAACATATAAGTCACGATAGGTCAACTTATAACGTAGTGACACATTTGTCACGATAGTTCAACTTTTAACACAGTAACATAGTCACGATAGTTCAACTTATAACGTAGTGAGATATTTGTCACGATAGGTGAACTTTTATTTATGCGATCTTGATCAGTTCTCCCATGAAATTCTCCAAACGAACAAAGAAAAAAAGCACGGACATTAGTAAGCTTAAGTCTCGACAGAAAATGTTGTTGAAACAGAAACTCCCCTCCTGCCAGCTCTATTCACCTTTCCTTACACCTGATCATATCCCACTGTGAGATGGATTGATGCAAGTATTGATTCCCCGGGTCGTGGGTAAAAAGTGGACGAATATCTCTGGGACAGGTTTCGTGTCTACGTAAGCTGATGGAATGCTGGAAGGGGTTGTTAGACTAGCCTCGTTCGGACATGTTTTATGGCATTATAAGCTGATGAAAGTATTTATGAGACTAGCCTGGTTCGGACAGGTTTTACGGCAGCCTAAGCTGGTATAAGTGGTTGTGAGACTAGGTTGGTTCGCACATATTTTATGGCAACCTAAGCTGGTATAAGTGGTTATGAGACTTCTTTTATTAGAGTCTTAAGTAACCCTGAGATCAACTGTCTCCGTTCATTGGAAGACAGACCATCCCTCCCCTCCCCCCCCCCACATCAAATTTTGTTTTTTATCTTATAGCCTGGTCAATTACCTGGACACATTTCTATTCCACTGACATCATTTCTGAAAAGTAAAAACTTGTGCATTTAGTTTACCTTCATTTACTCTGCACAAATTTAAAGTTAAATTAAACATTTTTGAGAAAGCCAACGGCCTTTAAATCCAGCGCTGATACATTATAACCGTAGCCGTTGACCGGGTCATCAGTGAGTACCGGGTCATCATTGAGTACCGGGTCATCAGTGAGTACCGGGTCATCAGTGAGTACCGGGTCATCAGTGAGTACCGGGTCATCATTGAGTACCGGGTCATCATTGAGTACCGGGTCATCAGTGAGTACCGGGTCATCAGTGACTACCGGGTCATCATTGAGTACCGGGTCATCATTGAGTACCGGGTCATCAGTGAGTACCGGGTCATCAGTGAGTACCGGGTCATCATTGAGTACCGGGTCATCAGTGAGTACCAGGTCATCAGTGAGTACTGGGTCATCATTGAGTACCGGGTCATCAGTGAGTACCGGGTCATCAGTGAGTACCGGGTCATCAGTGAGTACCGGGTCATCAGTAAGTACCGGGTCATCATTGAGTACCGGGTCATCAGTGAGTACCGGGTCAACAGTGAGTACCATGTCAACAGTGAGTACCGGATCATCAGTGAGTACCGGGTCATCAGTGAGTACCGGGTCATCAGTGAGTACCGGGTCATCAGTAAGTACCGGGTCATCAGTAAGTACCGGGTCATCATTGAGTACCGGGTCATCAGTGAGTACCGAGTCATCATTGAGTACCGAGTCATCAGTGAGTACCGAGTCATCAGTGAGAACCAACCGGGTCATCAGTGAGTACCGGGTCATCAGTGAGTACCGGGTCATCAGTGAGTACCGGGTCATCAGTGAGTACCGGGTCATCAGTGAGTACCGGGTCATCAGTGAGTACCGGGTCATCAGTGAGTATCACATCAACATTTCACAACATATGTTTGAGTCATCGTGACATACAATTTCTGGATCTTTTAATGATGATCAAATACTTTGAACTCCGTAAAGAAATCTGCATACAGTTTCACGTGATGATCGGCCGTCGCAAGCAACTCATACGCATAGAGCAACTCATACACATAGAGCAACTCATACACATAGAGCAACTCATACACATAGAGCAACTCATTAGTGATACGTTTCTAATTACATGAACGTGTCAGCTAATCAGGTGTAAGCACAACTGGTTCTGTTACATTCAACGCTAGCTACAAATAAAAATTACACAATCAAAGGTCAGTACATCTTGTACAATGACTTTCAGAATTTAATATCAGCGTCTCAGCTGTAAAATGTTTTTTTTTTTTATTTCCATACCTTGCCTGTGATCGTTGGCATACCACTTCATAATGAGCCCCTATTGAAATATCTAGTGCTAACGCAAGCAATTTTTTGTTTTGTTTCATAAAACCATGATTCTTTCGACATGACTATTTTGTAACCAAATGATATTCAATAGGAATGTAACGAAGCCATGACATTTAAGGGTTGGGGGGGGGGATTTCTTTCTATTTAGTCCGGTGACTCTCAACCTTCATAATGCCGCGACCCTTTGAATACAGTACCTCATGTTGTGGTGACTCCTAGCTATAAAATTACTTGCGTTGCTAATTCATAAATATGTGTTTATCGATGGACTTAGCGTGACCCCTGTGTAAGGACCATTCCACCCTAAAGGGTCATGACCCACAGGTTGAGAACCGCTGATTAGTCCGTGAAAGAGATTTCTTCTCAATAATGATATTCGACGATGATCTAGCTTTAACGGTTATTTCATTTGGCCCAAATTTTGTCTTTTAAAGAATATTTTTATTTTCCTTTTAGAAATAAAATCAAAGGCAAAATAAATTGAAGCGTTACTTTACGTTCATTTCAACTATGTTAAAACAATAACATTTTGTAGCATTATAATTTTGCAGTGTCGGTGACACACACCTTCACACACCTAAACAAATAAAAAAAAGCTACACACGAACACACCTCCAGACACACACGCGCACATACCTTCACTCACTTAGCGGTACAAGTGGACTAAGAAGGGTAATGATGTGACAGCTGATAGTAAGGTGGTTGGGGAGCGGGGGGGGGGGGGGGTAACCCCCCCTCCCCCGTTCTATTCTTACCTTACTTCCACCTCGACACTACTTAAGACATCTATGCACACATACACTTACGTACGCACATAGACAAACACGCACACACGTACACGCTCGCCGCTCACACTCTTTAAACACGCGCGAACACACGCATACACAAGCGCACGGATGCATACACGTACACATACACTTAAACACATGCGCACACAAGCGCACGTGCACAAAGACACACACAGCTCACACATTCACACACCTGGTGACGTTTCGCTGAATCAAAATTCCAAGTGACCACCTTAACTCGCCACTGAGGTCAGAATATTTAAAAAGGAAATAACGACAGAAATGTTCACTGGATTAACGCAACATTTGTCCAAGCTGTAACTTTTCAGGGCACAATCAACTCTTAATTTACATTTCATGGCGCCCACCAGCTTTAAATTAGGGCGCACAACTCTTTTAGATTATTATAGTTTGGCTAAGAATTTTATATTCTTTAAAAAAAAAAAAGTGAAATAACAAAACATCTATTGTAAAGTATGTACATGACATTTAAAAAAATAACAATAACATACATCTGAAAATCCTTTTAAAACTGCGTTTGCCTGGGGTAATTTATTCGAGTACAGTTTAAGGCTTAAAAGTCCAACTTACATTTTTTTCAACGTAAGCGTCAATATGTCAAACCCACTTTTACATTGTAAGCCTTAAAAGTCTAACCGACATTTAAATTGTATGACTTAAAAAAATCGAACCTGCACTTGCCTTGTAGTCTTGAATATATAACCTAAATTTACACCGCAAGCTTTAAAATAAGCTGCAGGTTTTGGATACGATTTGCGTTAGAAAAAAAAATTTTTTAAATTTCCCTTGAATTTGCTTTTGACTAGTTTTTTGTTGTTTTTTTTTTTTTTTTTTTTTTTTCTAAAACTAGCCACGATAATTGATAAAATTGATCAACAAAAATTAACTAGGTTCACCTACCGGTATAGTGAAACGCTTGAATTTTGCTTGTCAATCCTTGAAGAGTCCACGCTATGACATCATTGTCTCGAGCGGAGTGCACCCTAAACAAACCTGAAATGTTTGAAACATAATTCCACCGGTATAATCATCTCAACGTGAACGACGAGAAGGGTTATGATATCCGCTGGTCCTCTAATTATTCCAGGTGCACCATTCAACATCAGAACCCGGTGCAGGTAATTACTTTCGCCACCTTTTGTCATCCACGGGGCCGGGGGAGCTCTACCAGCGGGCAAGTAGCGGTGGGGGGGGGGGACACGAGGCAGACGCCGCGGGGGGGGGGGGATATCGAGTACCGCAACGTTGAGATAGCTCACTCACAGTCCGCTGCTGCTGGTGTGGCTTCTTATCCAACGCACGCCTCTTATTTTTTCCAACCTTAAATCCTTCTTATCCCGNCCCCCCCCCCGAAAAAGAAAAAAAAGGCATGGGATATTTAGCAAATAGTGTTTTCATGACGATGTTTAAAAAATGAAAAAAGTAATAACACTTCACTTGCTTGCGTATCAAGCGTTTTCGTAACCCATTCTTGCACTTCACTGGAAATTGATTTAGATATAAATAGTTCGACTTGTCATAAATTAAAATGAGTACAGATCTTGACGAGCCATAGTGAAGTGATTTCTTTTTTATTATTTTTTTGTTTACATTTTTTTTAAAGAATACGAGTTTGTTCCGTTAATGTTTATGTCAATGGTAGTTACTGGACTTAAGTATGGACAAGTAAAGATGTAGGGCAATGAAAAGAATTGAAGTGAAAGAAATAGAAATGTAGGCTTAAGTGAGGTAAGGGGCAGAGATATGAACTCGGTTTGAGAAGTGCAGATTGGCTAGATTTAGGAACCAAAGTAAAATAATATCATATTAGCTATATTTGATCTGCCTAAATGCTTAAATATCGCTTCAAATCCTAGTGACTAAAGTGTCTTGGGAATAAGGACTAACTACTTTCAATTAGGGAAGTCTTAAGCATTGAGTCTACTGTCTTATACATTGAGTCTACTGTCTTATACATTGAATCTACTGTCTTATACATTGAGTCTACTGTCTTATACTTTGAGTCTACTGTCTTATACATTGACTATACTGCCTTATACATCGAATCTACTGTCTTATACATTGACTCTTCTGTCTTATACATTGAATCTACTGTCTTATACATTGAGTCTATTGTCTTATACATTGACCCTACTGTCTTATTCATTGACCATACTGTCTCATACATTGACTCTACTGATTTACACATTGACTCTACTGTCTTATTCATTGACTATACTGCCGTATACATTGACCATACTGCTTTATACATTGATTCCATGGTCTTGTGCATTGATGCTACTGTCTTATACATTGACAATAATGCCTTATACATTGACTCTACTCTCTTTGTGCATTGACTCCACGGTCTTATACATTGATTCTGCTGTTTTTTACATTGACTCTACTGTCTTATACATTGAGTCTATTGTCTTATACATTGACTTTATTGTCTTATTCATTGAGTCTACCATCTTATACATTGAATCTACTCTCTTTGTGCATTGATTCCACGGTCTTATACATTGATTCTGCTGTTTTTTACATTGACTCTACTGTCTTATACATTGAGTATATTGTCTTATACATTGACCTTACTGTCTTATTCATTGAGTCTATTGTCTTATACATTGAATCTACTCATGGACTAGAATTTCGCCAAGAAACGAGAGGGATGGATCCCCTTTCCTACACGAAACTTAGACATAAAATGTCAAGTTCATTAGAAAGTCATAACGAGGCCAATCAGTTTATGGATGACGACAGATTTCTGAAAGCCGGGAGAAAACTCTGTACACGTCATTGATTGAACGACAAAAGTTGCGGCCCCTGTCTGCCTTCCGATCTGTTAAACCACTAGGGGGAATGATTTCGCTGGGCAGAAATTTAGAAAGACGAAATACAAATGTAATGGGAGAATGTAACTACACGTAGAATATTCAGGTCAGGGAGGAGGACGTATTGAGGGGGTGAAGAAGAGGATGTAAGTTGAATTGATGAAGAGACAACAAAAAGAGATTGGCGAAGGAAAGACATATACAAATATAGTGTGTTGAGGCAAGTGATGAAGTTAACTATTTGAAAAAGTGAGTACTATTTAAAAGTTGGACGGGTCCTCCCAATGTGTTAATATAAGCTATTAAATCCTAGTCAGGATTGGATTTCGTTTTAATTAACCCATTATATCCGTCTCTATCCTTGACTGAAGTGATTAAATAAATCCCCCCCCCCCTTGATTGTCTGTGCTAAAGTTTCATTTATCTCCACCCACCTCATCAGACAAACAGACATCTCTTGATGTACCGTAACTCGTTTTGGAATTGTATTACCTGGGGTGCACTTTCTGTCATGACAGAGGCGGCGCATTCAGCACCAAACCTAACGTCATAAGTCCACGAGATGTCACGTTTAGCACCCATTCCAACGATAAATTTCAAATAAAATTCTTATTTCAAGCAGCATCGTTCCATAAATCTTACATAGTGAATTTTGTTTAAAGAGAAGGATTCAGCGGTAAATTAATACCCGTTCAAGACATGATAATATCACTGAGTCCCTGATATGATTTTTTTTTCCGGAGCAAAAGGTGGTTTGATATCAATTAAAGTCTTTGAATCGGGAAGTCGAATTTTTCATTGACTTTCATTGACATCTGTTATTTAAATTCGATAGATAAGTTACACCTCAGTGCATTAATTTTTTTTTTCTTACCCTCATTACCATTGTTATAATTAGCAATTTTCAACAAACAAACAAATAAAAATGTAAAAAAGAAACTATTTTTTCCAAATTTTGATTCTTTAAAGATTTCATTGATTCAAAGGTCACCAAAAAAAAATAAAACTACTTTAATTATAAACGATATTCTGAAATAATGCTTCGTCGTCGCCACCAAAATGTGACATTTACTCTACTGAAGCAATCTCTTAACTTGCTTCCATTAATGGAAAATGCGATGCACATTCAAGTCATGGGCGATGTGAGAAATTCTTCTTTTTACTTTCATTTTACAAATATTGCAGTGGCATCGGTGAAAAAATATACAAATAACGCCTGCGATAGAATGTTAGAATTCTTGCCTGCCTTTTATTGCTCATAGCTTCCTTGTGTGTAGGGCCTACCATTGTTCATAATGTCCATGTGTTTAGGGCCTACCATTATTCATAGCTTCCTTATTTGTAGGGCTGCCATTGTTCACAGCTTCCTAGTGTGTAGGGCCGACAATTGTTCATAGCTTCCTTGTGTGTAGGGCCTACCATTGTTCATAGCTTCCTTATTTGTAGGGCCTACCATTGTTCATAGCTTCCTGGTGTGTAGGCCGTACCAATGTTCATAGCTTCCTGATTTGTAGGGCCTAACATTGTTCACAGCTTCCTGGTGTGGAGGGCCTACTTTTGTTTATCAAGTCAAAGGTTACGATTCAAAAGGAATGTACGACCTTTTAAACAAAATATGTAGGTATTTAAGTTTTCAATATTCATTTATGGTTCAACGTTTTTTCCGTTTGCTACATATTTATTCCAAATACTTGTGAAAAAGTCATGGTTTTATTCTTTGTAGCAACAAAAGCCGGCAAAACTTGCCTGCCTGTCAGAGAGTGAAGGCATTAACTTAACTGCCTGTCAGAGTGTGTAGGCAGTAGCTTAACTGCCTATCAGAGTGTGTAGACAGTAGCTTACCTGCCTGTCAGAATGTGTAGGCAGTAGCTTACCTGCCTATCAGAGTGTGTAGGCAGTAACTTACCTGCCTGTCAGAGTGTGTAGGCAGTAAGTTACCTGCATCTCAGAATGTGTAGGCAGTAGCTTACCTGCCTGTCAGAAGAATGTGTAGGCAGTAGCTACTAGCCTGTCAGAAGAATGTGTAGGCAGTAGCTACTAGCCTGTCAGAAGAATGTGTAGGCAGTAGCTACTAGCCTTTCAGAAGAATGTGTAGGCAGTAGCTACTAGCCTGTCAGAAGAATGTGTAGGCAGTAGCTTACCTGCCTGTCAGAAGAATGTGTAGGCAGTAGCTTACCTGCCTGTCAGAAGAATGTGTAGGCAGTAAATGTTAAAACCAAAAGACACCTTCTTAATCTTTTTTAAAAGAACATTAAATGAGATTAGATGATTTTTTTCTTAAACTAAGATTAGAAAAAGCGCTACATTCTCCCTGAAATAATTACTTCATAGTTTGCATCATTGGATCAATGTTAGAGCTTCAGCGTCATTGATTTCCTTGCCGAACCGTCTATAAAAATGTAAATATGTATTTTTAAAAAGAAAATCACTTGAAAATTGATTTTGTAATGAAATATTGACTTTTCGATATTTAAAAAAAAATATTATAAAATACTTTTTAAATGATAAAAAATAAGTTTAACCAAAGAGTAAAAAGAGAGATTATCAGTTTAGAGCTAATCAATGTGCGCTATGTCATAAGAGCTTTCTTGGCATCGGTGTCATTTGTTGTTATTTTTCTGTTCTACTGATGAACGAGTTATCTGAAAAAACACTTGTAGATGTTTCTGTGTCTTCAAATGGTTCAAGCTTAACATAATTATACAGTTTTAATTACACAAACTGTTTGTGTTTAATAAATCTACTTAAAAGCTCTATTGCAGTCCAAACAGGGGTTCTTTCAGCTATATCTCCGGGAGGCACTGCCCCCCCTCCCAGGGAAGCCAAGTACCCCCCGGAGCAAAATTATCTCCAACATGGCAATGCCCCTCCCCACCGAAAATCTGAAGTGCCCCCCAAATCCCCGCGGTCACTGAGTCCAACCCTCTCATAACCCAAAAAGATATCGGGGTACGCACTCTGTGAGTCATCATATTTGTAATTTATTGTTCTTATAACTCCCATTAAGAGTTCTAAAATACAAAACGAGGAACTGGATTTTTAAAAATCAGCAACACCACCCCCAAGCGCGCCCTGGGTTATAAAGTTAAGTAGAAATGAGCACGGCAACTGTGAGCAAAACACACATGCGCCATTTAAAAAAACACAACTCAATATTTTGTCTTGTCTGAAATAAAGCTTCTCAATAGATATTTTAAACTTAATGTCATACTAATCCTTTAAAAAAAAAATTGGCCGCATTCCAACACTGCTATCATTCCTATGATGTACAAGTTACAACAGAGAATCTGTTTGTGCGACAAGATAGATTTCGAGAGCCGAGGCTGACAAGCTGGTTATTATGAGTGAGCGATTCCCCTTTCTA